ATAGATAGATAGATAGATAGATGGATAGACAGATAGATGGATGGATAAATATTTGGATAGATAGATAGATAGATTAATGGACTGGTAGCTAGAAAGATCGATGTGAGTTCTCTAGGCAGATCATTCTCTCATTCAGCATTTTCAGATCTTATTTTACCAGTAGATGTTGTCCAATTGGCTTCTTTCTTCCAGCCAGTTGTTGTAGACAGACAATCTCCATCTCGGACGCATTTGTTTTCGCTGACTCGACGCCTGATGGAGGCCACTACTGAGGAAGGACACGAATTTGTTCAGCGAAAACTTAACCGTGCACTTCAGGTTTGTGGTTGCGTTTCCTATACAATTCATTTCATTAAGCAAAATGAATGTACGATGAAGAGATCGTTCTAGGTAAGAATTGATTTGTTTAGTGGAGAATACGTGTTGAGGATGCATGGAGCAGGTAAAGGGTAATAAATTTCGCGTTTCGGCGGCCGTTTCTTGAAGCCAGCTGAAAATTGAACGTGGTCATTTTAGTTGTGCGGAAAATCTCTTACAGTCTGGCGATGCTCTCCCACACCTATTTCTCTCGCCCTTTTCAGCAACAGTCCCAAAGAACTCCTATTTAAACGTCCAGCATACGACCATTGTAGTGGGGAATTTCAGGGTAAATCTGGCACTCACATCACCAGCACTCTCGTTCTTTCCTCAATATTGGACGTTCATTCCGAAACATGCTGTCAAACAATTTGTGGGTTAGTTTTCGGAGCGAGTTTTGGTTCATGCTCCTTGTAAACAGGGTGAATCATAGAGGGTGGAGATTGGTTAAGATTCATCGGGATATTGATTAATCCGAAGTGCTCTGTTAAAACGTTCTCCAATTACATGATGTGAACATGTGATCACATTAAGAATAACAGCACGTGAAAGAAGTATTCTCAATACAATGCAGATACGTTCAGGTCAGGTCGGTTCATTTTATCTCGGTTCAATTCAGTTAAGTTAAGTTAACCCAATTCAGTTCGGTTCGGTCAAGTTCAGTTCAGATCAGTTCAGTTCAGTTCAGTTCAGTTCAGTTTAGTTCAGTTTAGTTTAGTTCAGTTCAGTTCAGTTCAGTTCAGTTCAGTTCAGTTCAGTTCAGTTCAGTTCAGTTCAGTTCAGTTCAGTTCAGTTCAGTTCAGTTCAGTTCAGTTCAGTTCAGTTCAGTTCAGTTCAGTTCAGTTCAGTTCAGTTCAGTTCAGTTCAGTTCAGTTCAGTTCAGTTCAGTTCAGTTCAGTTCAGTTCAGTTCAGTTCAGTTCAGTTCAGTTCAGTTCAGTTCAGTTCAGTTCAGTTCAGTTCAGTTCAGTTCAGTTCAGTTCTGTTCAGTTCAGTTCAGTTAAATGCACCAAACTTCAGGTCAGTTCCGCTCCCTTCAGCTGAGTGCAGTTAAGTTCAGCTAAGTTCATTTCAGTACCGTTGCGTTGCGTTCAGTTCAGTTCGGTTCAGCTCATTTTCAATCCAGTTCACTTCAGTTCAGTTCATTTCCGTCCAGTTAATTTTCATTTAAGTTCAGTTCAGTTCATTTCAGTTCAGTTCAGTTCATTTTCAATTCAGTTCAGTTCAGGTCATTTCAGTTCAGTTCAGGTCATTTCAGTTCTGTTCAGTTCAGTTCAGTTCAGTTCAGTTCAGTTTTGTTCAGTTCAGTTCAATTAAATACACCAAATTTCAGGTCAGTTCCGCTCCATTCAGCTGAGTGCAGTTAAGTTAAGCTAAGTTCATTTCAGTACCGTTCCGTTGCGATCAGTTCGGTTCAGTTCAGACTCGTTTATTTTCAATCCAGTTCAGTTCAGTTCAGT